CTGGGCTTCCGGGAAGAAGGCTACACTGTGGCCCCAACATGGAGGATGCGGCAAGATGGAGGTGAGCGCATAGCCCTCACCCTTTCATTCCCCCCTTTGTCTTGGAACTTCCGGCTCAATCATGAGTCGGGCTGCATTTCTATTCCACCGTCACTAGAGGCCTGTACTGGGCATATCTTAACAAATGGCCTGGTGGAAGGGAAAGTAACAATTTTTATTGAAATAGGATTTTTTTTCTTAAAATTCCTCCATGGCCATTAAAAAGCCAAATCGAGATTAATTTATCTACTATTCTGATGTTTGCATAAATACAACAAGAACGGCAACTGAAAACCATCATTAGAAACTGGTCTTATTGAATTTATGCAAAGAGATGTATTGCCAGATTTTGGAGGAATTATATAAGAAGAAAAACATATTGATTTATTCTAAGATTTTCTGACTTTTTTTGCTAATTTCTTTTTATGCATAACCATGCCTTAGATTTTTATTCTAACCAGGCTTTTTCTAGCTTTACTACCCCTGACATGGGCATGGTCATGCAGGCCTGCAAGCAGTACACAGGCTGTCAACTGTCAACTGTCTCTCAACAGCGACCAAAACCTGATGGGCACCGTTCCCTGTTCAGTTGGGCACCTGCCCTCTTGGCAGCTAGGCACTCCTTACTTTCGGGGGTCATCCCGCACAGTTCTTTTTCAGGACAACCAATATACATTCAAACCTGCAAGAGAATTAAAGGTTAATGTAACATATTAATACAATGAAACATAATACTGGCATTATGGCCGCTTTCAGGCAGCCAAATCTCCCGCTATTAAACATGTGATACTAAAGTTTATTCCCGATTTTTCTATAAATTGTCCCTGTCTTTTTGGAGCCATGTCCATGAAGATGCAGGCATCATCTAAGTCTATTGTGGGGGCTCCTGGCGACAGGAGTGATTGCGAGCCATGTCACCAGCATCAGGCAGGTGGAGCACGCCGTAGCTTGAGCTTCAGTGGGTTGCGTTGATCTCTATCGACGCTCCATTTGGTGATGAAGTCTTTTTGGACCGTGGATGGGTCCGCTGACCGGACGTGAGTGTGATGGATCCAGGTCGCGACGCCATCTACCTTGAGAGCAGTGGGGGTCGTTAGCACCACAGTGTAGGGACCCTTCCAACGTGGCTCAAGAGTTTCTTGATGATGCCTTTTGACGTAGACCCAATCTCCTGGTCTGTGTCGATGAGGAGTTGGAATTGGGCTGGTCTCATAGATGGCGCGAAGGCGTGGCCAAATGTCCTCCTGTGCCCTCTGGAGCCCTCTTAAGGAAAGAGATAGTTCTTGATTTTCAAATTCAGCGAGAAAGTCAGCTTTAAGGTTAGGAATGATAGGGGGTGGCCTGCCAAACATGATTTCATAGGGAGTGAAGCCCAGGGTGTAAGGGGAGTTCCTTACCCGGTAAAGGGCATACGGTAGGAGAGCCACCCAGTCCCCGCCAGTCTCTATGGTTAATTTGGTAAGGGTCTCTTTTAGAGTTCTATTCATTCTTTCTACCTGACCTGAACTCTGGGGTCTATAAGCGCAATGCAGTTTCCAATTTGCCCCAATAGCCCTGGTTACTACCTGTGTTACCTGTGAAATAAAGGCTGGCCCGTTGTCGGATCCTATCATAGCAGGAAAACCATACCTGGGTAAGATGTCTTCCAGCAGCTTCTTGGCCACCGTCTGAGCTGTTTCACGCTTGGTTGGGTATGCTTCTACCCAGCCAGAGAAGGTATCTATAAATACTAAAAGATATTTATAACCATACTTCCCTGGTTTAATTTCAGTGAAGTCGACCTCCCATTGTGCTCCAGGTTTGGTGCCTCTGAGCCTGGTTCCTTCTTTATTTGATCCAACCCTTGCGTTTGTGAGTTGACAGGTCTTGCAGGCTGACACAACCTGGTCTATCTTGGTATTCTGCTGGTGAATTTTGATCCTAGCATGTTGGATTAAGTCCTTCATTTTCCGGGCTCCCAGACATCCTTCTGGACAAAGCCGGTGCTGGCAGCCAGTGGGAAGGAAGGACTACTCTTGCATGAATTTCGTGCATCGGGCCTCTAGTACTAAATAAGCTTCCAGGAGTAATTGTGATAATTAAAACAAAGTAGAACCAGAATTTTCAAGATAGGTAAACTGCCAAATAATACATAAAAACAGCAAATTTCAAGTAGAGTGTAATTTCTTTTAGTTTCAAAATCTGTAAAATCATTCTTCAAATGTACTTATGTTTTGGTTCTTGAAAGAATTAAAAGAAAAAAGATGTGAACAGCAAATGAATCACAATGCTGAGATTTTATAAAATTGGGCTATGAGTACACTGATATTTGCTGTTATTCTCTAGTTTTATCAAAACATTTGAAACATTTCAAATACACCAAAAATATTTTTCAGCATACTCTTCAGATCTATATATGCAGACTTTTTTTTACACAAAAAGTCACTTTTTAGAAGCCTGATTTGCCATATATCAACTATAACATGATATGCTTCAGGTCTACAAAGAATTTTAAAAGTCAAGTTCATTAGGCTTACCAGTTTACAGATTTTAATATACAAGTTATATGACCCAAAGTAGCAAAGATAAAAAGATCTATCCTCTTTTGGGGTGCCTTTATGGTATCCTAAATTTTATAGGGGCACAAAATTCCTTATGCTGGATCCTGACCAGCCCATAACATATAAATCCAAAGTCTACATCTTTGAGGTCCCAAATAAGGATCAGTAAAGTATATTAAAAAAGTTATTTACCTTTTTGATAGTAGTTACTTGCCCAAGATAACCAGCAGTTCCACTCTCAATAAGAGGGACGTCAGCTGCCAGACACATCCTATTAACATGGTTGCGGGCAGCTGGAAGAAAAATACTAGTTAGCAGAACTTTATGGGGGAAAAGAAGAAATTAATTAATCTTTAACTAGGTTGACATTTACCCAAACTATTTCTTATTGCTTTTATTTTACATGCAATTTCTTTCTTTTTTTTTAAAAAAAAAAAAGTGTATTTTTATTGATTTTAGAAAGGAAGAGAGAGGGAGTTAGAAACATCAATGATGAGAGAATCATTGATCAGCTGCCTCCTGCACAATCCGCACTTGGGCTCAAGCCTGCAACCCGGGCATGTGCCCTGACTAGGAATCGAACTGTGAACTCCTGGTTCATAGGTCAACACTCAACCACTGAGCCACACCACAAAAGTTGGGCCTTTTTAAAAAAAAAAAAAAAAAAATATATATATATATATATATGTATTTTTATTGATTTCAGAGAGGAAGGGAGAGGGAGAAAGAGACAGAAATATCAATGATGAGCCCTGGTAGGTTTTCTCAGTGGTTAGAGTGTCAGCCCGTGGATGGTTCAATTCCTGGTCTAGGGCAATTGCAGGTTCCCCAGCCCCAATAGGGGCACATGCGGGAGGCAACCAATTAATGTGTCTCTCTCACGTCCATGTTTCTCTCTTTCTCTCCACTTCTTCCCACTCCTTCCACTCTCTCTAGGAATCAATGGAAAAAATATCCTAGAATGAGGATTAAAAAAAAGAAACATCAATGATGAGAATCATTGTTCAGCTGCCTGCTGCACTCCCCCTACTGTGGATCGAGCCCGCAACCATGTTAATAGGATGTGCCCTGACTAGGAATCAATCCGAGACCTCCTGGTTCATAGGTTGATGCTCAACTACTGAGGCACATCAGCCGGGTTACGTGCAATTTTCTGACAGCTATGACCAGAATAATACAACTGTTACAGACATTTAAGATACATTCACTAGTAAAATTTCAAGGAATTTATATCATAAATTTACTCCGGGAAAAGTATCCCTATATCTATTTTTTAAATTCCAAAGTGCCATCTTTTATTGCTGTGCTTACTCTTTTAACCTTGGCTAAAACATTGTTTCAATGTGTTCCTATTCCTTAACTTGCTATTATTCTAATACAATTATCAAGTAATACATATAAGTTTAGAACATGGGATATCAAGTTGGAACTATTAAGGCAGTATAAAACTAGGTGAAAGATGAGTCCAGTTAAAAGAATCATTCTGGCCCTGGCCGGTTTGGCTCAGTGGATAGAGCGTCAGCCTGCGGACTGAGGGGTCCCAGGTTCAAGTCTGGTCAGGGGCACATGCCGGGGTTGTGGGCTCGATCCCCAGTGGGGGGTGTGCAGGAGGCAGCCGGTCAATGATTCTCTCTCATCATTGATGTTTCTATCTCTCTCTCCCTCTCCCTTCCTCTCTGAAATCAATAAAAATATATTTTTTAAAAAATGAGTCATTCTGACTCTTTCTCATGCTACTCTGTATGGTTTTTTTCTTTTGGTATTTCTGGCCCAAATAGTTACAAACTCACTTGACAGATGTACTTTTACATGTGGAAGTAATTACAGGCAAGGAATATTAAGTATTTTCATCCCAAATTATAGACACAGATTTGCTAACAATGACTAGCTATAGTACAATACTGGATTATACAAGACATCACCGCATATTGTGAAAAGTTGAATTGGGATATAATGTGTACATCTCATAGAATCCAATATGATATCTTACAGCACCAGATATACTTAAAAAAGAGCCATAGCTTCTGTATTAACTTTGGATCTTGTTGCCTCATTCTCAAAACAGTGGTTTTCAGTCCTGACTGCACTTTAGAATCATCCGGGGAACTAAGAAATATGGCCCCATAAGTCTGACTGAACTGGTATTGGGTGAGATCTGGTAAGACACTGGTAATTCTTAGATTTCCACATAGATGAGGGGTGTGACACTGTTTAAGTGCTGGGATAATCTGAATCAAACACCCATGCGTGCACCCTATGTAGTTACCCTTTTTAGTATTTTAAGTTCCTTTATATTCATCCACATCTTTTGGTAGAACAGCAGAATATATGACAGCTAAATTCCTGCCTGGAACCAGTTTTAATTAAAATTACAATCATTTGTCAAGACTTAAGCCTGATCATACTTCCCCTTTAAGTTCTAACTCATAAGAAAATATTTTGATTAATTCTAAATGTGTAAACAGCCTTGTTATGGGGGAAGAAAAATACTTAGAAATTAGAAGTATTAAAATAATCTCACCTCTGTTATCTAAAGCATTCATAACCAATATAAATTGTCGAAAAAATTCCACATTATAGTCGGGGCTACAAAGCAAAACAAAAAAAGGTCAACAAAACAACTGGCCTTACATATAGGATGTTCACACAAGGTCCTAAAAAGCACTATTACTATATTAAATAGTGCAAAAATAACTGATATAATTAGGGCTCTCTACCATTTACATAGGTTTGACTTTTTCTAAACACCATAAGTGGATTTTAAAGAAATTACTGCCCCCTAATCCCTATGACTACACATCCTTTTTGGCCAGCTACCTAGGGCACAAGAGCAGGATCTCCAACTAGCAGAAAGATGGCATGACCTCACTAGTCCCACCAGGCCTTCTCTGGGCAGCAAGTGCCTGGGAACATACAAAGAACACATTCCCAGGATCTGCCTGGCCTCTGGCTTCACCTCACATGGTTAGGATCAGGCAGGGTTCAGGCCCCTAGAGTCCCTGCTTTTAGCAGCATTGGGAAAATAACAGGGTAAGGGGGTTACAGGGCTATAGGCAGGCTTGTAGAGCAAACATCCAGAGAATAAAAGGCTGGAGATACAAATTCCCTGAAAAAGTACAAAACTTCCTCTAATTCCAGACCTCAAATAAGAACTTATATTTTTAATACTGAGTTACATAACTATAGGTAAAGAATTGAGGCCCTATGGCCTGACACCTCCAAAATGTTATATTTACTCTATCTTTACTAAGATCAGAACATATTTATATACTGTTAAAACTACTGCTCCATCACAAATTCCTAGGGTTATGTTACAGAAATCACAATCCTAAAAAATGAATTATCTCGGGAAGGAACCTTTTAAACTGAAAAAGACCACAACTGAAATCAATCAGAATGAGAGCAATATATTTAGAAAAATCTGAATCATCACATAAAAGGATTTATCATCATTTAGAATATATTTTTCTTTAAAACAAGACGATAAGATCCTTATATTAAGTTTCCAAGTAAATTATTTATTGAAAGCATTAAAATATATTACCTCTTATCTAAATCATTCAAATCATATATATAAACTTATTACAAGAATGCCATTCAACTTATGTGGGCACAAACTATCACATTCTAATTATTCTAGAAAAATCATTTTTAAAAAAAGCAGACTTCAAGCTCACATATTTGGCTAGTAAAAATACCTTATATAATAAAACTTTAAAAATTCACAACAATTTTACAACATAATAATTAGAGCATACTTCATGATGCTGTCATGGTAGGCTATGATATTAGCTTTCGGGTAAAACTGCAGTACACTTTCTTTGGCAACCTGGAAAAACAAATAACACTAAATTACTAACTTACTAAATTAATACAACATTATCTGTATTTGAAATATTTTTATGGCAGACAATACTGTTATTTCACCTACTTACATAATCTTATATTCAAAACTAAATATTAAAATGTTACAAAATTTCATTAAAATTAAGCTACATACACATATTTATAAACAGTTGGACTGCCCCACTCCTATATATAATTCTACAAGAATGACAAGCTTCAGAAAAAATATAAAATATAGTGAAGAAGTGTCATTCATTCCTTCAACAAATATTTACTGAGCATCTTCTATGTACCAGGGTCTGTATAAGGCACTGGTGAGCAAAAATGACATTAATCAAATAACCATCTAGATAAATATAACTACAAAGTATGATAAATGATACTCAGAAAAAGTAGAGGTTGTTATGAAGAACTGGTCTGGTCCAAGAGGTTTGGGCGAGTACCCCCAGAGAAGAAAGCCAAATAGAGAAAAGCGTGGGAGCCTGCCAAAGGGCTGGGAAAAGATGCTTTACGACCCTGAATCAAAATGGAACACTCAAGGAACTAAAGGTCAGGGTGACTAGAACCTCAAGGGAGGCTGTCTCCTATAAAAAGAGACAACAGCATAAGCCAATACAGGAGCAGCCAACCTCTAGGGCAGCGGTTCTCAACCTGTGGGTCGAGACCCACAGGGGTCGTAAGACCATCGGAAAACACATATATAATTACATATTGTTTTTGTGATTAATCACTATGCTTTAATTATGTTCAATGTGTAACAATGAAATTGGGGGTTACCACAACATGAGGAACTGTATTAAAGGGTCGCAGCATTACGAAGGTTGAGAACCATTGCTGTAGGGAATGTAGGAACAGGAGGTTTATCCTAAGCAAACAATCAGAAATTTAAATCAGAAAGGGACACCATTTAAGGATTTGGCAGAGCACTTCCATTTCCTCTGTAGACACCTCCACTCCCCCAAGAGAGGGCATCTTTAGTTCTTTACTCTCTCTCTCTCTCTCTCTCACACACACAGACAGACACACACACACACTCACACACACACACACACACACACACACACACAGGGTTGCAGGCAGCTGGAAGAAAAATACTAGTTAGCAGGACTTTATGGGGGAAAAGAAGAAATTAATTAACCTTTAACTAGGTTGACACTTACCCAAACTATTTCTTATTGCTTTTATTTTACATGCAATTTCTTTCCTTTTTCCTTCTTTTTATTCTTAACAACCCCTCAGCTACAAAGAGATATTGCTTCCCCATACTCTTCTTAGTAGAGTGCAAATTAATCTGATATCATAAATAGAAAATCCATTAAAGGGTAGGATATATAAATGGATAAATAGAAATGGTATGAGAAATTACCTGGGCCTTTGATCTTCCAACATGTTTCTTTTGAAACAAAAACTGCCTGTTGAGGTTGCTGACATCAATAGTATCCAGATCAATCTACAAATAAATAAAACCCAGATAAATCACAAATTTTCTGGTATGTTTGAGCAATATCACTATTCTCAGCATCCATAACCCAGAACTTTTGATATTTGCTACATTTAGTGGAGAAAATGCTTTTTTTACCAATACCAAAATTCTTTAAACCAATAACTTAATGCACAACTTAGGAGATAACTTTCTCAAAAATTTTTTAGAAAGTATTTTTTTTTCTTTTGTTCAATCATCCTAGCAAATGTTAGTAGCTCAGGTGGTTAGAGCATCGTGGCAGTAGGCCAAGGTTTCAGATTCCATCCCAGGTCAGGGCACATACAAGAATCAGCCAGTGAGCTCTGGCCAGTGTTTCCAATGGTTAGAGCGCTCAAGCATCCAAGAGTTTTGGATTCATTACCGATCAAGGGCACGTACCTGGTTTGCAGGATTCCTGGCAACCAGGGCATGTGCAGGAGGCAACCAATCATGTGTCTCTCTCACATTGACATTTCTGTTTCTTTCTCTCTCCCCTTCCATTCTCTCTCTAAAAAAAAAAAAAAAAAAAAAAAAAATCAATGGAAAAGATATCCTCCAGTGAGGATTAACAACAAAAAATAATCAACAGTGCAACCGTGAATGTTTAAATAAGTAAAACCAATGGGTGTTTTTCTCTATCTCCCTCTCCCTTCCTCTCTCTAAAAATCAATAAGTAAATTTAAAAACAAAAGTTCCATATTGAAAATGCATTATAGTTCTGGGCAGTGTTGCTCAGAGTGTTATTGGCCCCTGCACAAGGGATCTCAGGTTCAATTCCCTGTCAAGGGAAACATCACATGGATGTTTTTCTCTCCTCCTCCTCCCTCCCTTCCACGCTCTCTAAAAATCAATTGAAAAAAAATCCTCCTCGTGTGAGGATTAACAAAAAACAATATATAATTAATCTCTATTAATCTAATTAGTCTTTTAAAACCACATATTAGATTTAACTGCCTTTTTTCTTTTTTACAGAGAGGAAAGGAGGTAAAGAATAGAGAGCCAGAAACATCCATGAGAGAGAAACATCCATCAGCTGCCTCCTGCACACCCTGAACTGGGGATGTGCCCGAAACCAAGGTACGTGCCCTTGACCGGAATCGAACCTGGGACCCTTCAGTCCACAGGCCAAACTGGTCAGGGCTGCCTTTTTTTTCTTAAGTGATACCTGACAAATTGTTTTTGCTATTTCTTTTATTCAAAAGTCTTCATACATGCAAATACCATTTTTAAAAGTACATTTTTATTGATTTCAGAGAGGAAGGGAGGACAGAGCGATAGAAACATCAATGATAAGAATCATTGATGGGATCGGGTACACAACCCGGGCATGTGCCCTGACCGGAATAGAGCCGTGACCTCCCAGTTCATAGGTCGATGCACAACCACTGAGCCACCTCGGCCAGCCCCCACAATATCATTTATAATTATTTCCTGAGAGCTGTAAGAAAAATCTCTACACAAGGTTTTCTTCTAATTATATTTTTATTGATTTGAGAGAGGAAGGGAGAGGGAGAGAGATTTAGAAACATCAATGAGAATCATTATCTAATCAGCTGCCTCATGCACACCCCGCACTGGGGATCAAACCCTCAACCCAGGCATGCGCCCTTGGCTGGAATCGAACCCGGGACCCTTCAGTCCACAGCCCTTCGCCCTACCCACTGAGCCAAACCAGCTGGGGCTCGACACAAGATTTTAAATGTGCTGTTTTGAGCCTTATCTAACTGCTGCTCAGAAGTAAATATTAAGGGGGAAAAAGTAAATATTAAGGATGAAAATGACTAAAGCCATTTTCATTCCATTTCAATAAATTTATATGCAGAGAAATCAAATGTTCTAATTGTGAAACATCTTAACGGATTTGGTTAACTTTGAATAAAAAATTTTCCCACAAAAACTGGTGGCAGTTCAAACCCAGGCTACAAAGGACCAGCATGTATTTCTCAGGTGTCTATTACCAAACGGTTCTTTCAAATATGCATCACTGTTGATCGGGTAAGGCACAACCATACTGGGATTTGTGGTACAGAAGAGAGTGGGAAGGAAAGCCCTAAAAAAACCCAAGGGAACATGCTTGGATTGTGTCCCCCATCACTCATTATCAGCTCCGTCAGCCACCTTTTTCTTTTTTCATTCCGTTTTCATTACATCTTGAGACACCTTTAAACTCACATTCAATTCCAGGAAACAGCTCTAATCTCTAAAAAGTTCACTGTAACAGAAATACCTAGACTTAAAATTAGTCACTGTAAACCAACGCAAAAGTTAAGATCCTAACCAACATCTCTGGGAAATAAGCAAGTGTATTGTCTATGGTACTGAGAGTCACGCAGACTGACCCAGAACGGAAAAGCATGAGGCCGAAAGTCTTGCCACTTGCTTGGTGACCAAGGTAAACTGCCAAGCGTCACTGCAGCTCAGTTGTTCCCTGAAATCTGTTGACATGGGATGGAAACTGCGTTCGCAGCCTCCGGTGGTAGGAAGATTAAAGATTAAAGCGTTAGGCCCTCGGGTCCCCTCAGGCTCCGGGCAGGCGCTCAGTGTGCAACGAAGACCGCCACGCTCTGCTCTGGACCCCCGTTTCTGGCTTAAACAGTCACAACCTGCACTAGAAACGCCTCCCAGTAAAGCTAGGAACTGCTCTAGAGCTAAAAGACAAGAAAGAGGCCGCTTCTCCACCGAGAAACGCCACACACCGGCGCTGCCCGGGAAGCGGAGGCCGGCCCCGCGGGACGCCCGGAAGACCGGGCCCGCGGCCTCCTCAGCGTCCCGCGGCGGCCAGGGAGCGGCGAGGCCCGCTCCGTCCCCGCCGGGGAGCTCCCTCTCTCCAGCCGGGACCCCGGAGTCCCTTGGCCGGCCGTGGCACCCCCCGCCCCCCTCCACGCCGGTCCCGACCCCCGGACCTCGGCACCACGGCCCCCATTCAGCCCGCGCGCACGCCTGGCCCTCACCAGGTCGATGTGGGAGAAGCCGGTGATCACGAGGTTCTTGAGGAGCTCACAGCCGATGCCGCCCGCGCCCACCACCAGCACCCGGCCCCTGGCCACGGCCTCGGCCAGCTCTCGGGGGAGCCCCCGCGACAGAGCCATGGCGGGATGACCACGAGCCGCGACGGAGGCGGAGGCGGGAGAACTGAGCCGAGGCCGGAAGCGGTGGGGGAAGGGCGGCCCGGCTTCCGTTCCTGCGCACTGCGGCCTGCCCGGCGCGGGGTGGGCTGTGCGCGGGGTAGGCTTCTTGCAGCCGGGGCTGTGTTCCTGCCGGTTGTGTCGTTTGCCGATGTCCTCACACCCGCGCTTCAGGTTAAAAAGCGTAAGGGTCACTTTGTAGCCTGGGGTTTGAACTGCCAGCCAAGGTTTCCTTACAGGTTACAAACAGATGCCCCTATATGTAAAGAGCTCTTACAAATTAAGAAGAAAACAAATGTCACCCATCAAAAAAATATAGGCAAACGATATGAACAGGCACTCATAAAGAAAATGGGTAATACGGTCAATAATGATATTGAAATTTAATCAAAGAAATGCAAAATTGTACTTAAATTATTTTCACCCATTGGCCTGGCAGGGTTGGTTAGTTGGTTAGAACATCCTCTGGATATACCAAGGTTGTGCGGGCGGGTTCCATCCCATCAGGGCACATACAAGAATCAAATGGTGCGTGCATATTAGTAATAACAAATCGATTTCTCTTGCTCTCTCTCTCTCTCTCTCTCTCTCTTTTCCTCTCTCTAAAATCAATTTAAAAATTGTAAACTATTAAAATATATAAAATAAGTAAATTATTTTTACCTATTAAACTGGCAAAAAGTTGGGAAGGGATTTGGGAGGATTGAGTGAAAAAGGTGAAGGGATTAAGAAGTACAAATTGGTAGTTACAAAAGTGTCATGAGGATGTAAAGTACAGCATAGGGATTATAGTCAATACTAGGGGCCCGGTGCACGAAATTTGTGCACGGGGGGGGGGGGGGGGGGCCCCCAACCCAGCCTGGGCCCCCTCCCAAAATGGGAGGCCCCAGGGGAAGTCCCAAGGAAGGGTTAAGGCCCCTTTCTGCTCCCCTTGGGGGGGGAGCCTAAACCCCAAGCTGGGCCCCCTTTTTGGG